TCCCAGTTTGGAGGTAATACCAGTCATATCATAGTTTATTAAAGACAAGCATTGCTGGGAATTTCCTGGCGGTCCAGTGGTTAGGGACTCCATGCTTTCACTGCCAAGAACCCGGGTTTGATCCCTCGTTGGGGAACTAAGATCCCAAAATATCGCAAGCCTCTCGGTGCAGCCAAAAAAATTAATTAATTAAATAAAATATATTCTTAAAAAAAAGAAAGACAGGAGTTGCTGCCTCTGGGAGGTATGGCTAGCTAAGTGTTACTTAAGGATGGGTTCTAATGGTAGGCTAGAAATGGTGATTGTATTTTAGAAGGCTTTTTTTCCCTCTAACAACTTGCTTCCTTTATTTAAGCCCCTAGAGGTCCCCAGTCTTTCTGAAAACTTGTGGCTCATTCTGCTACCAATGATCAATGATCAATTCCCCATCTCCCAGGTCAGTCTGTCACCAAGTCCTTTCAACCCTTCCTTCCAAATGTACTCTGAATTCAATCATCCCATTCCATTCTCTAATCCAGGCTTTCATCACTTTGTCTGTGTACCATGATAAAAAGCCCCTTGCATTCTCTCATCTCCCCACATTCTAGACTATCTCAATTGAACACTCATCATTTTCATCATATTACTCCCTTGCTCAAGGACTCTTGAAACTCTATTGCTTCTGATCAAATCCAAACTCTTTCACTGAACTTTTAAGATTGACTTGGTAACTCTAGTCTACTGCTATCTAAAATACACATTCTACCTAAGACTCCAGCACAATGCCCAGCTCAGAGAGGGGCCAAGTAAATGGCAGGAACTCTTCCACAGTTCAGACCTCTGTTCCAGCTGAAGAGAGTTTTAGTATTTCCTGAACAAATCGTGCTCTTCCTGACTTAGGATTTGCTCACACTTTCTCTTTGAAGGGAAAAGGAAGAAGAATTGTTAGAAGATGTGTAGCTTCCTTTTCTTATATGTGGTATCCAGAAATGGCACCTTTCCTACACTACCCACCTTCAAGCCCAGGATGACTATTACATCTTCCAAGAAGCTGTTCCCATCTGCTCTGGGGGACAGATTTTTCCCCACAGGAGAGATCATATTGTACTTCTCTTTGCACATATCACCAGCCTTTGGCAGAATGCTAGAAATATAGAAACTAAGTAAAGCTCAGCTAACTGCTAAGAGCAGAAGGAGAGGTACCCACAATCCAGCAACTGGATAATTACTCCCTAAATAATTACAGCTCAGTTATACCATAAACCCTACCTTGACAAGAAGTAGAAGTGTGAGATGTAGGTGAAACACAAAGCTGCTTCATGCTTTATACTTTCCTTTATTTTCCAGAATCAGTCATCATAAACACAGGGCCTAACTGAGTCCTTAATTTATGTCAAGTGCTATGCTACATGTTTTATCTATATAGTGTCATTTAATTCTCACAAGAACTCTGTGAGTTATTACTATACACATCTTATGAGAAACTGAAGTTCAGCAAAGTTGAGTGACTTACCCAAGATCATACAAACAGTGATGGAAATGGATCTAGAAACCACAGCTCACTGATTTCAAAGCCGTATTCCCTTAACCTCTACACTAAATTGTCTCAGATAAATATGCAAAAAAATAAAAAAAAAAAAAGAAAAGAAACGGTCCTAACATGACCAGAGGAATAAGCACTGTATTAGGCTCATAAGAAATGAACAAGTCAACGTTCACAGGCAAAGACATCTCCTTTTATCATGGACTCTGCTTACTCCTCAAGAATAAATTCAATAATAAGGAATTACTCCCTAAAAGTTTACCTTAGTTTTCCCATTTATTGTAAAAGTCTAGGATTTTTCCTTTCTTTTCCCCCTAAGTGTGTGGTCTATGGACCACATGCACTGGAATTCAAAAGGCATGCATAGTGTGTATGATGGCAAGTGTTGCTTGGTGTGACACTCCACACACTCCTTATTCGAGAATTCAGAGGGAGTGTCCCCAGATATCTGCAAGGCATCTTTCTGTGCACTTGTAAGCTCAGGTGCATGGGAAAATACAGATTGCTGGGCTTCAGTCCGAGCCTACTGCAGGAGGAGTGGGGCCATGGAACATATGTTTTTGATAAGTGCTCTCTGGTGATTATTTTAAGAAAGATGGAGAAACACAGAACCCCAGCTCCTGTCTTGGATTCTCTAGTTAGGTGCCCTTTCGAGAGATATGGGGACACACTGATCATTTTACAAAATTTAGTTTTAGAAGGTTCTTCATAAGGCTTCATGAGCATCTTTCTGTAGAACTGGAAGTCAGGAATTAACTTGAAATAAATGACAACCCTTATTTGAAGCTACTGTATCAAAAACTGTGAATTTCAGAAGTGGGCATTCTTGGGACATTTGAAAGAGACTGGAACAAACCAATCGAAAATGACTGATGAAAAACATGCAGGAATTCCCAGTCAGGGGCCAAGAGGGTTCAAAGGATGGTGGCAAATTAATTACAAGTTGTACATCTTGTACTTCAAGGAAGAGTCTTTCATGTAGCCCAAAGAGAAGATCCACCTCTCCATGGTTCTTTTCTGTACATAAGTTAAATTTTGTTAAAATGAATATGAGGGACCAATGTGTTTATTTGTGTTGCCCAAAATTATGATATAATAATATTGTTTGAAATAAACAAGCTTTATATACTAGATTTTTTCTGTAACACTGTTGATTGCGACAGGACTTGTCCTGCTCATGTGGGACACGAGCACAGGGAAGAAAATTGTACATCTTCTTTCTCCCTTGGGATTTTGTGTTTACATGTGTCTGTCTTGAGAGCTAGCCACTCAAGCACTGATTATTCCTCAAAATCTTGTATTTATGAAATGCGTAAAAACAGAAGGAGCGGGCTTCCCTGGTGGCGCAGTGGTTGGGAGACTGCCTGCCGATGCAGGGAGCACGGGTTTGTGCTCCGGTTCGGGAAGATCCCACATGCCGCGGAGTGGCTGGGCCCGTGGGCCATGGCCGCTGAGCCTGCGCATCTAGAGCCTGTGCTCTGCAACGGGAGAGGCCACAGCAGTGAGAGGCCCACGTACCGCAAAAAAAAAAAAAGAAGGAGCTTTTCTTTTTTGTTTTGTTTTTAATTATTGACTTTATTTTTTAGTGCAGTTTTAGGTTTACAGATAAATTGAGCAGAAAGTACAGAAAGTTCTTACATACTCTCTTTCCCTACAAACATAGCTTCCTTTTCTTCCTAGAGATGCATGATGGGATAATGAAGAGTTCAGACAGTCCAGTCTAGGGACCTGAGTTTAAATCATAACTCAGTTACTCACTAACAGTGGGGTCTCTGGACCTTGATCTCTGTCTCTGCAAATTGGAAATAGTAATGCCTACACTGCATGGTTATTTTAAAGATCAGAAATAATATAAGTGAAGATCTAATGCAAAGACAAATGCAATTAGTGGTAGTTGTCATTTCTTAGTTGAGACAGATTGGTTTGCCTTTTGGGAGGTTTCCCCTTCATCATTGTCTTGCAAGGCAACCTTGATTGGGAATATAATATAACAGCGGCCATGGGAAGAGTGTTGGAAGAACAGATGATGAAGAGTCAAGGCTTCACCTCTTCCTACTCTAGAACGAATTCTCCACTGGGGGCTGCATAGTCCAGGAACCCCAGGGCAGAGGTGTCACCACCATAATCACTTGGTATAGTAAAGTCTAAATGGGTTGTGTAGTGTCAGACTTCACAGAGCCCAGATCCTTACTTTGCATTATTTGGGGGAGGAACCTGTCCCTTTTCAATCATTACTTTTTAAAGCGTTCCTTCCTACAGGAGCATTGTAGGAGGGAAGGAAGGAAGGAAGGAAGGAAGCAAGGGAGGGAGGGAGGGAGAGAGGGAAGGAGGGAAGGAAGGAAGGAGGGAATCAATGCTCAGAAGATGCAAGGTTTAAATGATAATGTTGTTTAAGCGTATGACTATGTGATTTTAACAGATGACATTAGACTGAAAGCAAAAGATGACACCAGTGGAAGAGATCCAAGCCTTCCCTTCCTCACTGCTGTGACCTCACACCACCTGAGGTCCCCTGTCAAAGACGGTGGAACTGAGTATGTGTGTTAAGAGGTCATTGAAGGAAGCCATGACAAAGGGCTCTATGTATGGCAGCCTCACCTCAGACCATACTATTTCAAGAAGGTCTGCCTCACCTGTCTCATTCATCACTCCCGCTGAAGTCTGTTTATTAGCCGGAAGTGTGGGAGCACCAGTGAGAAACCAGCATTTGGAACTTAGGCTTCAGGAAATGCTGCTGGAACCGGGACAGTGATATTTTTATATTACCTAGCCAACTGCCAGCTCTTAATAAACATTTCCTCGTGCAGTTTTAACAATGACATAATTTGTTCTCATTAGAAATTGTTATAGCTCCATGAATTTTATAATAAAAGAAAACTAAAATGGAAAAAGTAAAAAAATAAGAAGAGGGACTTCCCTGGTGGTCCAGTGGGTAAGACTCCGTGCTCCCAACGCAGGGGCCCCAGGTTTGATCCCTGGTGGGGGACCTAGATCCCGCATGCATGCTGCAACTAAGAAGTCCACATGCTGCAACTAAAAATCCTCATGCCACAAGGAAGGTCCCGAGTGCTGCAACTAAGACCCAGCACAGCCTAAATACATATAAATAAATACTTTTTAAAAAAAGAAGAAGAAGAAATGTGCTCAAACGACCAAAGGTTTGGAGATGGAAGCGTCACCAGAGGCATTTCTGGAAGCCACTCTCCAACGATGCATGATGAAGAATCACTCTCCCCATCATTGGCTCATGCCAGGCATGCATTTTTATTTTTTTGGCCACACAGCCTGCAGGATCTTAGTTCCCCGACCAGGGATCGAACCCGTGCCCCCTGCAGTGGAAGCTCGGACTCCTAACCACTGGACCACCAGGCAAGTCCCCAGGCATGCATTTTTAAATGCCCTTTGTGGAACTAGAAAAAATGATGGTAAGAAGGCGGCAGGCTGAGGAGGCAACACTTTCCCTCAAAGCAGAGCATACCTGAGGCATTATCGAGGCTGAAGGCAATGCGTACTGGCTTATCTGCAGGTACCCTGGCTGTGCTGATCATGTGGGCACCTGAGCCTTGGCCTTCCTCCTGGTCTTCCAGCTGTAATGACAAGAAAGAGCCATTGTCACTTTACCCAACATTACCCCTCGAATACTCAGAGGCCTTTGGAACTTAGAGGGGAAAGTTAGTAAGCACTGCTTTCTTATTTTAAAGATATTCCTAGCTCCTAGCTTGCTTTCCCTACACCTGTCCCATTTATAATTCTTTTTCTGGCTTATAAAAACATTTGCTTTGGAAATACATCTAGAACAAAATATAAAAGATGGGGCAAAATCTCCACCCACCTCACTTTTTTAGTATCCCTTACACTGACCAGTCCAACCCTGGCCCTTTGAGGTCTTATATAGTATTTTATTTTTAATTGAGGGGGATAAAGAAGTCTTAATAAGGCAACAGACATCTTTTCACACTCAAAAGCCTAAATTGGATCTGAATTATTGATCTGGGAGTGGTAACAAATACCTATCATGGAATTATTTCAAGAATACCAAAGACTATTTTAAAATATCCCCCAGTTATATTATGAATAGTATGCGCTTTAAATATCTGATTAACTACCTATTAATCTACCAAACATTTCTAAGGTTGTGTGATATGAGCAAAAGACACATCCTAAAAACATCCTATTCATGATCTACATCACCTACTAATTTATCATTTAATAAACTAAGATAGAATGAATGGAAAAGCATGCTACAGATAATATGGGTTGGGGTGGGTGAAAATACATGAAAATTTCTTTGTATAATAATTTAACCAAGATATTTGATAATTTTTGTTCAATGGGTCTGGGAAAAGATATAATTATAAACACAAGATATCTTTGTCATTTAAATCCATATATTTAACTTTTCTATTTTTAGTCATGCTTTCCCCTAAGCCTTCTACTTTCCTTCTCATGGAGACAGTAAACCAAAAACTCTGAATGATGTTTTAAAGAAAATGTCTCTAAAAATGGCAAAATATAAATCATCTCTTTAACCATCCTTAGCGAGATTCTGGGAACTGCTTTAGCAGGACATTTTCTCACAGCAAGGTTTCTGATTCTTTCCCATAACTTTTCTCTATCTAAAAATAGTGTCTAGAACACTGAATTTTGTTTTTACAATTATTTATAGAGCCAAAGCGAATGCATATATACATATAATATATATATTTAGACATACATACATATGGAATCATCTTATCACCAGTATATGAAAAAAGAACATGCTTATATTAAACACCTAGTATAGCTTTGGAGAAAAACCAGCAACTGTTCATCACCCAGTTAGAATCATATTTGACCCATTCATTGAACACTACAAGTAGCAATGAACCATAAAGCACTCCAAGTCATGTCATTCTAAGTTAGAAAAGAAGTATTAATGTGAAACATTCGACTCAAGAAAAGGGTAATATAAAATCACTGTTACTTGACTCAAAATTTGTTTTATCTTAGCTCTGACATACATTTCTGTGTAGTCTCGTCTGCTTAGAATCAACCATCTTGTTAGCCACCTGTTCCTAGGGAATAGAACAGACTGTCTCAAATTTAACAAAACAGACAATAAAAAACCCCTTAAAGTTGTAGCCAAAAGAAAAAAATCTTATTGTTACGCCCTGTACCATCACCAAACCATTTTATCATAACATCTAAGGATGAAAAGCTTCACTCCTCTTTTGGCTAAATCTCCCAATGCTCTCCTGCACCAAGAAATAAACCAGAAGAGGTGGAAGTTTGCCTCCTGGGATTTTGTAAATAGATCTCTGGCAGTGTTTCCAGCCACGATAAATGGAATTGATCAACACAGCTAATTAGAGTCCCTCCCCTCCACACAACAGAGAACATCTGTCCGCCTCCCAAAGGATGGCGGCGGCAAAGTTGGGTGGATTTTGAGTTCCACACGGTGTCAGCCACAAGAGCCCCTGAACCAACTTGCCTTTTCATCACACCGCCTGGGGAAATGGGCCACTGATTCCTCCTCTCGGCGGTAGCAGAGCTTTGGTTAAGTTGCTGGTGCTCTGAGCATTTAGTTGGGTTTTCACACCTGTCGCCTTACCTCACTTAGTTGAGTGTCTGCACTTGTGTAATCGAGGGCCAGCCACTGCCTTGGCCGGTCGTTGCCTTTGTGGAGTACAGACCTAGTGGCAGAGCAGGCTGCACCTGCCGCATAGCAGCCGCTGACAATCTGAGGAGCAGTGACAGCTGGGAGGGCGGCTCGCTGCTACCTGCTGTCCCCCAGACTCCGGCGTCCCACGGGGCCTCCCTGTTGCACTTCCCTCCACGACCCCACTCTCTTTTCCTTGTCTCTCCAACAGCCAGGATGTTGTCATGCTTCTAGAAAAAGCAAGAGCAAAAGAAATCCCTCCTCCTGTCAGAGGCATTGATAAACAGCAAGTCGTGGAGAGTCCAAATGTTTTAATTCATTAGTCCTGGCAAACCTAAAATACAAACAGACTTGCTTCACAAGACAGGAATGTCTTCAGCGTGACCCAATCGGTGTCTGTGTCTATTCCAGCAAACTGGCAAAGATAGCATGACTCCAGTCAGCAAAAATGTCGGCCGCTCCAGTCAGCTCCCCGGGACCCAGCCAACTTGGACAGGCCACAAGCCGACTCTCAGATGATGGCAGCGATGATTCGGCTTAAGAACGTGAGGTCTGAGGTTGAGCTGCTGTTGGGCTTGATGACTTGATCCCATCTACGATGCAACCGACCGCAAACTGAGTCAATGGTAAACAGGAAGGGAAAGTTCAAACTGTTCAAACTTTTTAATAGCTATCAACCTGAAGATGGGTAGAACTTTAAAAGAGTTGGATGTTGATGTTGAGGTTAAATAATTAAAGATAAACAAGTATCCAGAGAATACACAGACTGGGAGAAAATCTTTGCAAACTATATACCAGGTAAAGGATGGCTATCCAAGATATAAACAGAACTCTTAAAACTCAACAGTAGGAAAACAACCCAATTTAAAAATGGGCAGGGCTCCCCTGGTGGTGCAGTGGTTGGGAGTCCGCCTGCCGATGCAGGGGACATGGGTTCGTGCCCCGGTCCGGGAGGATCCCGCGTGCCGTGGAGCGCCTGGGCCCGTGGGCCATGGCCGCTAAGCCTGCATGTCCGGAGCCTGTGCTCCGCAATGGGAGAGGCCACAGCGGTGAGAGGCCCACGTACCGCAAAAAAAAAAAAAATGGGCAAAAGATATGAACAGACACCTCACAAAAGAAGATATAGAGATGGCAAATAATCATATGAAAAAATGCTGAACACCATACGTCATGAGGAAATTGCAAATTAAAACAACATTGATATTCCACTACATCCCTCTTAGAATGGCCAAAATCCAAAACACTAACAACACCAAATACTGGTGAGGGTGAAAAATGGTGTGGCCACTTTGGAAGACAGTTTGGCAGCTTCCTACAAAACTAAATATGTACTTACCATTATGATCCAGCCATCACACTCCTTGGTATTTACCCAAAGGAACTAAAACTTATGTCCACACAAAGACTTACACACAGATGTTTATAGCAGCTTTATTCATGATTGCCAAAACTTGGAGGCAAACAAGAGGTCCTTTCATAGGTGAATGGATAAACAAACTGTAGTACATCCAGACAATGAAATATTATTCAATAATAAAAAGAAATGAGCTATCAAGCCATAAAACACATGGAGGAAACTTACATGTATATTACTAAGTGAAAGAAGCCAATGTGAAAAGGCTACATATTGCATGATTCCAACTATACAACATTCTGGAAAAGGCACCATTATGGAGACAGGAAAAAGATCAGTAGTTGCCAGAGGTTTAAAGAGAGGGAGAGAGAGATGAATAGGGAGCATAGGATTTTTAGGGCAGTGAAACTATTCTGTGTGACACTATAATGGTGAATATATGTCATATGTTTGTCAAAACCCATAAAATGTACAACACCAAGAGTTATAAACTACAGACTTTAGTTAATAAGACTGTGTCTATATTGACTCATCAATTGTAACAAATGTACCACGCTAACGCAAGATGTTAATAATTGGGGAAATAGGGGAGGAGAAGTGGGGGGGAGGGAATAGAAGGGAACTCTGTGCTTTTCACTCATTTTTTTTTTCTGTAAACCTTAAACTGCTCAAACAATGTTAAATAAGTAAAATGATTTAGCAGGTTTCCTTGGTCTAATGAATAAAAGGTTAATTTGTTATGCTATCCACAGTAATAAGGGGCATAGATTCAGATGATTAAAAACATTCACATATAAACCTATTTGCATTTCTAACTGCAAATCTTTCCAGGAATTATTATTACTGTTTGATGGTATTTTATGGATAATAATATCATCTTACGTATTGCATTAAAATTGATTAAAAAGACTCTTGTTTTAATAAATTTATTTATTTTTATTTATTTATTTTTGGCTGTGTTGGGTCTTCATTGCTGAGCACAGGCTTTCTGTAGTTGCGGCGAGCGGGAGCTACTCTTCGTTGGGGTGCCCAGGCTTCTCATTGTGGTGGCTTCTCTTGTTGTGGAGCATGGGCTCTAGGTGCACGGGCTTCAGTAGTTGTGGCTTGTGGGCTCAGTTGCTCCGTGGCATGTGGAATCTTCCTGGACCAGGGCTCAAACCTGTGTCTGCTGCATTGGCAGAAGGATTCTTAACCACTGCACCACCAGGGAAGCCCCAGAAAGAGTCTTATTCAAAAGAGTTTATCTTCATCTTCCCAATAATCCTATGAAATAAACATGGCCAATACTGTCAGCCCTATTTAACAGATGAGGAAACTGAGACTCAAACAATTTAAGTAAAAGGTTCAAGGATAAATGATCATTATGGAATAATGACCCAGATAAGATCCAGGTTTTCCAATTTTTAGTTCATGCTATTTCCACTATACCAGGATGCACTGTGTATGAAATATCAAATTGAGTTGTTTCATTATCGATGTCTGACACTCAACTTTTGGAGTGAAGGAGACAAAGTTATAACTTTCTTCATGATCTGTTAGCATCCAGGTTCATCCGACACCAGCTATCTTTACCGTGACACCTAAATTCAACCTCAAGGAAACCGAAGTTGTGGATCTTGTGTGTGCTGGTGGGGAAGTGGATACCAATTCTGCACTGGCTCCCAAATCAGCCCATGGGTGTGACTTCAGAAAAGCTGGTGGTGACAAGGACATTGCCAAGGAAATCCATAACTGGAAGCATCTGGATTCCAGTGAAACTGACCCTTCAGAATGGAAAGGCCCAGAATGAGGTAGCACCTTCCTCCTCTGCCCTGATCATAAAAGCCCTTGGCGAACCAACCAGAGATAGAACACGACAGTTATATATTAAATACAATGGAAATATCACCTCTTATGATATTGTCAAAAGCACCTGACAGATGCAGCATAGATCTTTATCCAGAGGATTCTCCAGCACCTTTACAGCAATCCTGGGGACCATCCATTGTGTGGGCTGCAATGTCAGTGGCTGCATCCTCATGACATCAACAGTGGTATGGTGATGCCAGTTGGTAAAGAGATACAAAGGAAAAGATGTCATTAAAGGATAATATGACAACAACAACAAGAAAGAAACAAAAAGAATACAACTAAATAGTCTAAATGTGCTCTGTCCAAGCCTGATCACATAAATTCAAGGCTTTAATAATAATATTCACCAGTTCTTCTGTTCCCATGGGAGCAGTGATGTATTTCTTGGCTCTTTATCTAAACACTTCCAAGAGGATAACAAATCTGAAACTCAAGTGAAATCCCTTCCCACAAATGTAACCCAAAATAACTACATGGTATTTTAAGAATTCAATAGAATTATACTAATTCAATCCAGAAAGGACAGTATGTGTACATCAAAATATTAACAGATTAACAGTATGTCTCTGGATAGAAGCAATATGTAAACTTTTTATTTTCTCCTTTTCAACAGTAAATGGATTTTTACTGTTACATGGAAAGTTATTTTTAATGGAATTCAAGGAGCTTTTCAAATGATGAATCCTTGACTTGCTTCTGAATTATGGTCTATAATACACACAGCAGCTCATGGTACAGACTGTTATCACAATTAATGTGATCTCAATTTCTTGGTACAATTCAATAAGCATCTTGGGAAGACTTGGTATGTGCCAGTCTAGCATTTCCCAAATTTGCCTCATTGTGGGTTCATGCCTTTTAAAAATACCTATTCCCAGGCTCTGCCATGGGGGTGACTCAGTAGGGCTGGGGTAGGTCCAGGGTTTTATAAATTTAAACAAGAAGTGCTAATATTTGTGTACAGCATTTAAAGAATGGTTTAGAAGACATTTTCATCAATACTTTAAAGTTAGCTCTCCACTGCTGCGTGATGTAGGTAGCCTATAATCTCCAAAAGAAATGTTTCACCATGGTGAAGTAATGAGTTTTCCCTTATAACCGTCAGTTTTTATAAAAAAAAAAAAAAAACAGTTTTTATAAAAAAAAAACAGCAGTTTTTTTTCTGTAAAGGATCAGATACTAAATGTTTTACACTGAATGAGCTCTTACAATCTCTCTCAGAATTACTCATCTCTGCCATTGTAGCACAAAAGCAGCCACAGACAAGATGTATTTGAATGGAGGTGCTCCAACTTTATTTACAAAAATGGGAAACAAATGGACATGTCTGTGTTCCAATAAAACTTTATTTACAGAAACAGACAGCATCCTGGATTTGGCCCACAGCCATAGTTTACCAGCTCCTATCTCACCTCACCACAGTCTGAAGCTCCAGTGGACATACCTCTCCCAGAGGGGCAGGGCAGAGTCTCCTTGGAGAAAATTAACTTTTCATTTTTGCCGCTCTCAGTTGCCTCTCTTCTATTCATCCCTCCCAACTCCATCCCCACAGAAAAACTCTTACATGTCAGACTTTCCTTCACAACAGCCCCAAAGTTCTTCCTTTCTTTCTTTTAACATCTTTATTGGAGTATAATTGCTTTACAATGGTGTGTTAGTTTCCGCTGTATAACAAAGTGAATCAGCTATACATATACATATATCCCCATATCTCCTCCCTCTTGCATCTTCCTCCCTCCCACCCTCCCTATCCCACCCCTCTAGGTGGTCACAAAGCACCGAGCTGATCTTCCTGTGCTTTGCAGCTGCTTCCCACTAGCTATTTTACATTTGGTAGTGTATATATGTCCATGCCTCTCTCTCACTTCGTCCCAGCTTACCCTTCCCCCACTGTGTCCTCAAGTCCATTCTCTACATCTGTGTCTTTATTCCTGTCCTGCCCCTAGGTTCATGAGAACCATTTTTTTAGATTCCATATATGTGCATTGGCATCTGGTACTTGTTTTTCTCTTTCTGACTTACCTCACTCTGTATGACAGACCCTAAGTCCACCCACCTCATTAGAAATAACTCAATTTCATTGTTTTTATGGCTGGGTAATATTCCATTGTATATATGTGTCACATCTTCTTTATCCATTCATCT